TAACAGGACTTTGTCTGTTTTCTCAGGAGCCCTCATTCCAGACAGAAAAGTAGTCATGTCCGGTGGTCTGAGATGTCAGAGAGCCTTCAGGGCCGTCTGCTGATTTGAGGTCATTGCCCCTATCTGCGAGAGGAGTAGAGTGTGGCTGAGGTGAAGGCCTGGTGACCCGAGAGGATGCAGCAGTGGGTCGGGCGTGGGCCGGGCAAGGGCTGCGCACCCTGGGGCAGCCTCACGCCACCTGCTCTCTCCTCTCCGACATGTTGCCCTTCTATTTTCCCAGCAAAGGGAATTTATAAAAAGCAATCCTAATTTTCTCCTTACTTAAAACGATTTCGGAAGACAAGAAACCCCCACAGGGACCCAAAGCAGTGCGAAGGCAGCACAAGGCTTTGTTTCTGGTCGGCTTCTCCCTGGCCCTGGAAGCACAGCCTCCTCCCCAGGACCCCCCTCGCCGCCTCTCGGCGCCCCCAGCGACCGGCTGTGTGTGACTCAGCTCTGGGAATCGGTTTCAGACTCTGAGCGGCAGCTGGAGCGCACTGCAGACGCTCAGCACGAACCCAAGTGGCGGCATTGACGCTGTGCACCAGACGCTGTTTGCATTCAAATAAAAGGCAAACAGCGTATTTGCATTAATGGAGGGCCTCTGCGAAGGGGTTTGCATAAGATGGTTGATCCCTTCCAAGAGCTGCTTACTCTCAAGTCATTTCCGAGTGCGGCAAAGGATAAGCAGGCTTCTGCTAGTGGTGTATCACAAAGCTGCGAGTCTGCTGATTTCAAAGGCGGGCTCTCTGACATGCAAATGCGGTGTCAGGTGGGGCCCCGAGAATAGCCCACGTGTGCAGCAGTGATTGCCGCCTGTCGTTTGCCTCCAGCATTGTGTGCTTGAAGGTCCGCTTCATGAGCTGTTGCCCTGGGCTAAGCTCAGCTTTGGTCTTGCAAAGAGTTCCTCAGTATGCGCCACAGCTCAGCAGTCCCTTGTCAGATGAAGACAAATGGCTGGCGTGTTGCGGGCTCTGGTCCTTGGCAGTGCAGTTTCAGGGCCAGCTGTCTTTCCTTACTTCATTGATGAGGGAGGTGGAGGAGTAAATGTAAAGAAATAAGAACACAGTGAAAACAATGGGTTGGAAGCCCCCAGATTCATTTCCTTAGTGCCCCCAGTTAGTTAAAACGTGAGCTCCGCGTGGCCTGTGTTTCCTATGTGTCAGAGGAAGCGTGTTCATTCAGATTTTATATAGCTCCCAAGAGGAAACCAACCCCCTTTCTCGGCAGGGACTTTATTTTTCTTTTAAATCATGACCTCTATTAAAAACGTAAATTTTACACATAGCCAGACACACCCACACAGGGGCAACAGAAGTTTCTGGAAGCAGCAGTAATGAGAGCTGTCTCAGTAGCCGTGTGCAGCTTTGGTTAGCTGAGTGCTCAGTGCTTCGGCAGACTGACTGACACGTTCACTAGTGTTTCAGTGCCCCGCTGCGTCTAGTGCTCACCCTTTCACTTTGGACATGATTTCCTTCTATCTGAAATAATCCTTTAGTTGTTTATTCAGTGTGTAAACACTCTCAAATTTTGTTTGTCTGAAAACACCCCCTCCCCCTGGGTTTCTTGAGTGATAGTTTAGCTAGGTATAGAATAATATTTCATATATTTTAGCAGTTGACTTTTTATCATCTTCCGGATTTTTGTTACTGCCAAGGAGTTGGTTCCAAGTCCATTGTTGTTTCTTCTTAGATAATCTGTCTTTTCTTTCTTGGCAGTTTTAAGATCCCCTCAGCTCCATATTTGGTGTTCTGATGTTCAGTTGTGATGCATATGGTGTGCATTTGTGCTTTTTATTTTGTCCTCTCCTGCATTGTCCCCATTCTTTACTTCAGGAATCCATACTAGATGTACGTGGACAGTCTCATTCTTTTATCCACCTCTGTCCTCCATCTTTTTCCCCTTATCTTTCTGTGTTGCAATCTGGTTACTTACTTAGATCAATCAAGCAGATTTTTATTTCTGTCTGTAACTATTTTTAGTTACCTGTACTTTTCAATTCTAGAGAATTATTTTATCTTTTTTAAATTTTGCATTTTCTAGGGTTCCTTTTATTATAAATTCTTTCTTCGTTTCACTTCTTACTTTTTCAGGCTTTTATTTTTTTGCTTTTCCAGATTGCTCTGTTTTTGTAGAGTTTGGGAATCCTTTCTGTTTTGTTGTGTTTTGCTGGATCTTGCACAGTGGATTGTTTCCATGTGGTTGGTAGTTTTTACTTGAAACTCATCTTCAGCAGGCAGTTCTTCATGCCCTCTCTCTCTCCCTGCCTGCCTGCCTTCCTCCTTATTCCTCTCTCCCTTCCTCCTTTCCTTCTTCCTTGGGTGTTCTTTTGCACCCTAGATTGTTGCCATTCCTGGGGCCCCAATGTTTCCCAAGTTCTGGACTCATTTCTGTCTTAATTTCTAAACCGGGGATGTCAGCACTGCTGAGTAGTGTGAACTTGGGGGCCACACCCACACGGGCCCAGGCTTAAGAGTTTTCTTGGTCTCTCACCATGGACTCTTCCCAGCAGTGTTCTTTGCTGTTTCTCTCCCTGGGGGTTGTAGTTCAAATGCCCTTTCTGCAGATGCAGTAGCCCTGGAGAGTTTTGTCTTTATCCTGGGGGTCTCAGTTCCAGCTCTTAGGGGAGGTTCATGGACAACTGTCTGCCCATCTGCTCCCAGGGGTGTGTCCAGTGGCCCTGAGACGGGGACTGAAGCTTGTTGTACCTTCTTGCTCTCTTCTGGTCAGTGGGGTCTTCTCTGTTTTGACCTCAACTTGGATGTAACACTGGAAAAACAAACAAACAAACTCACTGCCGTCCAGTCAGATCTGACTCGTAGAGTTCCCTCCTTGGGTTTCCAAGATGGTATCTCTACGGTAGTAGATCGCCCACCCTTCCTTCTGAGGAGTGGGTGGTGGGATGGGATGGTTTTCTACATTCTTCTTAGAGTGGGAGACGTGGGGTCCTTGCTGATTGAGCCCCACAGGTTGCAGGAGCTGAAAATCCACACTAACTTTGTGTACTGCTGAGGTCTGCCTTTTGGACATTAGTGGGTTTTGCTTTGTTTTGTTTTTTGTTTTTTTGTCTTCCAAAGTGTGACATCCATTTTGCTTCAAGTGTCCCTGCTAATTCAGAGCATCACCATGAGGACTCCAGATCCTACCACTGTTGGTTTCCACTTTCTCTGTCCTTCGAGTTGAGCTAAAACCTTCCCTTCTTCCTCAGTGTCGGTGCATTTTTAATGTCAGATCAGTCATAACACAGTATGCAACCCACTGCAGTGTGCATGTTGTAATTGCAGCCCGCTTTTCATGACTAAGCAGCTGGACACACTATCTAGAGAGGTGTAACACCGAAGGACTTGGAGGACTGCTTTATGATTTACCATGTGTGTGTGTGTTTGTGTGATTGTGATTTCTGCAGGTCTCTCCTGCCCGTGACCCTGCACGTGGTCGGCATGCTTACACATGGTACGTGTACATGCTTTATTTTTTACTGTGTGTGTGTAAATTTCTACAGGTCTCTCCTGCTCGTGAGCCTGCACGTGGTTGGCACACATACACATTGGTACACATACATGCTTTATTAGCTGAGTTGCGTATTGAATGATATGAAGTGAATCTGTTCCAGGAACTGTAATGGCTTCTGGGAATTGGAAAGCTCGCGTGAATTCTGTGTAGTCCATAGAGTAGGTGACGTTTGGGATGGAGACATGTGTCGGCTCCTGCTCTGTGTACCATCCAAGACACAGGAAGCTTTCCGGGGAGCCTGAGGTGTTGCCAGGTGGGGCCTCTGCCAGCGGGCTCTTCACGAAACCATGGAACCGGAGCCTGACCTGGTGATCTGCGTGCACGGAGTGGTCTGAACAATAAGGGTGCGTGTGTGCGTGCGAGGGGGTGAGGAGAGGACTGGTTTTATTGCTACTTTTCTGAATTCAAAATAAACTCCCTTAACAAAAAGTACAGCACTGTTCAGAAAGACGAGGTTATAGTACTATCATTATTTTACTGTGATTTGGGTGAAAGTTTGCAGAGCACACTGGTTCTCCACTCACCGCTCATACACACGTGCTTCGTGACACTGACTGTGATCCCGGGACCGCACCAGCTCTCTTCCCGCTCGCTCCCTGTGGCTCCTGCTTCCCTGCGACCTTCTTCCCGTGCACCCCTGCCCCTGAGTCTTATCCCTGGGCAAATGCTGCCCTTCTGAGCTCGTCTGATGGATTGAGTGTCTCAAAATTGTTTGATATTTCTGAGCTAGAAGCTTTCAAACTTTGGAAAAGATCGTTTTAAAAATGTTTCTCATGTGCTGGTTGTTTGGATGTGGTTGGTGGGGAGCAGGTGAACCACGTCCTAAATGAAAAGGGGTGAACCACATCCTAAGTGGGGAGGGGTGGACCACGTCCTAAGTGGGGAGGGGTGGACCGCGTCATAAGTGGGGAGGGAAATTGGCAGAAATTGGCATTAAGTGAAAATGGAGGATTTTTTTCTGTTTTCAGACCATCCGTTTGCCCGATTTCTTCTCATTCGGAAGCTGACCACAGTTGCAGTAGCAGCTGAGGGTCACTGAGACCCCGCCCTGGGATGCGCCCAGCCCTGGGTTGTCTGCAGGGAGGAGGCTCACAGGAGGAAGCTGCTTGAAGCCCCTGTCACCTTCCTCCTGGGCTGGGTCAGAGCTTCCCTCTAGGAGCCACCTCCAGGGAGGGGAAGCCCGATGGTCACATCTGGAGCCTGCTTTGCCACTCAGCCTGGCAAGTCACCGGGACTCGGGGCTTCTTGCCGGGGCGCTGGGACCTGGCATGCACCTGGCCCCACCGGCCGAGGCTTCAGGCACAGGGTAGCTCACTCTGGGGTGTCGTGGAACTCACACGTTTCTTCCAGACCCCCTCCGAGTGCTTTTCTTCCCGCCCACAGCCATTCGAGCTGCAAGGCCTCAGGCCAAGTAGGAACTGGGGACCCAGACAGAGTCCCGCTGGCTCATGCTGCTTGTGTATCCCATCGAGGCCGTGGTCACAGAGGAGCCAGGGCCCATGGCAGCTGGGCAGACAGGAGCCCCGGCTGGCAGGAGTGTGCGGCCGGCACGGCCCGGCCTCCTGGAGGCTGCCGGAGACCACCCTCGAGGACGGGCCCGCTGTGCAGCCATTGCTGCTGTGCCCGCCCCCTCGTTCATGGACCGAAGAGTCAAATGTGGACTCTGCTGTCAGCATAGGTGCCCAGAGCTCAATGAGGAGACTGTTGGTGGAAGGTGAGGAGTGCTGTGCAGAGGAGGCACGGTGTCCTTAGGGACGAGATCTGTGGTGTGTGCAGGTCATTCTAAAAGCAGTGATGGTAGAACCAAGAAAACAAAACTGATGCCATGAGTCGACTCCGACTCACAGCGACCGTAGGGCAGTAGACTGCCCCCTCTTTCTCCCAGAGTAGCTGGTGGGTTAGAACCACTGACCTTTCAGTTTGCAGCCAAGTGCTTTAACCAGTGTGCCACCAAGATGCCTTAGGAACAATTAGAAAGTTCTGTTAGTCTTACTTTTGGGGAAGTTGTGACTTGTAGAGTATACACACACTGTGTGTACCAAACACACGGTGTGACCTCCGCACCTTGTATATCAGCTTCTCAGAGGACCAGAAAAGTGGGTTTGTTGGAGGGAGAGGTGTGCTGTGGTATTCCTGAATTACAGAACAGTGATGTAATTACGTGGAACACATGTCAGGCCTTTGAACAGTCAGATGTCTTGTTAGTGGGAGCTGTGCTTCTAGGAGGTGAGGAGGCAAAGGCATGAGGCAACATAGCAGGCATAGTGTGGCCGCAGACCCTTGCACTGTGCCTAGGGAAGGGAAACCTTGTGCAAATCAGCGGAAAGACAATACGCTGTGGCATTTGAGGGAACCCTAGTGGAACAGTGGTTAAAGCATTCACCTGCCAACCAAGAGGTTGACAGTTTGAATCCACCAGCTGCTCAACAGGAGGAAGACAGGCAGTCGCTTCTGTAAGCGTGACAGCCTTGGAGACCCTGTGGGGCGTTCCACTCTGCCCTCTAGGGGCGCTGTGGGTCGGAATGGACTCCATGGCAGTGGGTGTGGTTTGGGCTTTGCTTCTGTGAAGACTGACAGCCCTGGAGACCCAGAGGGTCTGGTGCAGTTCCTTTCTGTCCTGTAGGGGCGCTGTGGGTCGGAAGCCAGAAGCTTCCTCCTGGAAGGGAACAGACCCAGACCTGTCTAACCTGCAGGACGCAGCCGCCTCGACTCCACTCCACGCCCCAGGGTTTTCTTCGCATTGTCTGTGTCCTTTGTCACTCACACGTGCCGGGGCTGCGGGCACGAGGGGATCCACTCTGCCCTTTGGCAGCTCCTGCTCTGTGTTTGGTTGCCGCCCAGTCAGCACTTCCTCCTGTGGTCTGTGGTCACAGCCCGGCTGTGCGTGTCCTCAGCACCCAAGCTTTCTGGTCTGTGGGTCCTGTCTCATAGGTGGGGGTGAGGCGGCATTTTTCAGCTTTCCCGTTTTCCCCAAAAAATCCACCCTGGCTTTTGTGGCTCCACGTTGACTGTGCTCTTCCCTGCCCTTCACTTTAGTCTCTGCTTTGGGGTCTGAGAGTCTGGGCAGAGGCGGCTTAGTCGGTTTGTGCCGTTCAGCCCGATTAGGTGTAAAAAACCTTGTTGTTGTTGTAATGCGCCGTCAAGTCAGACCTGACTCATAGCAACCCCTCCTTGGGTTTCCGAGGCGGTATCACTACGGAAGTAGATTGCCCAGCCTTCCTTCCAAGGAGTGGCTGGTGGGTTTGAACCGCCAGCCTTCTGGTTAGCAGTCAAGTGCCTTAGCCACTATGCTACCAGAGCTCCTGTAAAAAACCTACGTGCCGTTAATTCCGACTCACATCAACCCCACGTGTGTCAGGGTGGGACCGCGCCCCAGAGGGCTGTCGGTGTGAGCGTTGGGCAGTCGGCTGCCCGCCCCGTGGGGCTGTCAGTGGCTGACTATTTGGGAAGTTGACTGCCAGGCATTACCCCGAGGACCCCTGGCTGGACTCAAACGTCTGTCCTTTCTGTTAGCAGCCGCGTGTTAACCTTTCGTATCATCCAGGACCTCTGATTAGATCATGGTTAACAAATCAAGCCTTGCAGCGTGTGTGGCAAGAACAGGGCACCTTATGTCAGGGTAGACGCACTGTCATTCCCCGTGCAGACCTCCTGTGAGTGGGAGTGTGTGCAAGTGATGAGCGCACGCGCCTGCTGCCGTGTTGACACTGACCTTGTGCACGGTGTGTGTCTGCACCCCAGGAGCTGGCTGCATGTGTGTGTCCAGGTGACAAGGACCAGGTGACGAGCGTGCACACACACCTGCTGGTACATTGACACTGACCTTGTGCACGGTGTGTGTCTGCACCCCAGGAGCTAGTGCGGTGTGCTGTGTGCTTGTTGGCTGGGGCTGGCTGATGCTACAGGGTCATTAGTGAAGGACCCAGCTGGCTGGATGAGCTGGCAGATGCTAATCTAGGGCTGCACATCTCTTGAAAAGCTTTGATGATGAAAGGCTCAAAGACCTGGGAAAGCAGAAAATAGCAATAGAGTGAATCCCCAGGGACCCCTCACAGGCCACCCCGCCCCACCCTTCCACCATTCCCTCCTCATCAGCACCCCTCTTCATTTTCTGGAGAATTGAAAACCAGTCCCAGAAGCCATAGCAGTTCCTATAAGTCCTCAGTGTTTTATGAACAGATGCCATCCCAGCGTCACCCTCGACAAAGTGAAT